TAAATGGGATTAGGAAGGCAAGGAGTAGGAGAGTTACAAGGTAACATTAAATAAACTGGTCATTGTAGGTCAGGGAATCCAGATATCATCCCTAATCTTAGGAAATTCCAAATAAACATTTTATTGAAAACTAGTCTCTGGACAGCATATATGTCAAGAATGTGTTCAGACATATGTGATTGTATATGAATGCATATGAATGTATTTGAATGTATGCATGGCTAGAAGGACTTTAAAATAATCTATTTAGTCCCCAGCCGGCATTTGAATCTCTTTTATAGCAGCATTATGAGCTCAGATCAAATAATAGGTGAGCGCAATTAGAAAGTTCATGAGTCAATGATTAGTTTACACATCTCTTACAAAGGCTAATTATTTGTTAGCTAAAACATGGGCCTCTGTTTTAGTTAGAGACACCAGCATAACAAAGGGTTGGCTGAGAACCTGGAACCCTGCTGTCCTATGAAAACTGTAAGAAACTAATCATAATGGTTAAAATTCTAACCTTTTACATGTTGGCATACAAGTCTTTAATTAAAGCCTCAACACATACAGACGAGTTAATCAGTTTTTCATATAATATTGAGTATTTTTTCTTATGACCGCCCCCTGCCATATTTAAAAGTTTCTGATTTCTGAAGTATACTAGATTGGTCTTCAGGGTTACCACATAAAACCCTGGAGTAACAGTTGAATTTGAATTTCTGATAAACAAGGACTATTTTTCAGTATAAGTATGTCCCAAATATGACATAGGACACATTTATGCTAAAAATTACTTGTTGCTTATCTGAAATTCAAATTTAACTGGGCATCCTATATTTTTATTTGCAAAACTTGACAACCCTATGAGTCTTAAGTCCCCAGAGAAAATTCTGATGGGACATTTTTCTTTTTCTTTTTTTCTGCTCTAAACCAGCATGATCATGTAAATCTGAGAGGTACTACTGTATGACCATCCATGCTTCAATCATTAATCAATTTATGCATTCATTCCTGCAACATTATTTTTGCATGCCTGCTATGTGTCAGACACTATGCAAATTAAATTAAAAGTTAAATACTGTATATCTGATATAATGGTAAGCTAAATAGATCTGAACCTTGCCCTCTTTTAGCTTAGAGTAGAATAGGTAAAAAATTACCTATTAGGAAAATACCCCTAAAGTGTGATAGTGGTAGTGAACCCAGCACGTACCACTAATGTGTGATTTGTCGATACACACAGTGCAAGTACATAATCACTGCGCTAACATCTCCTGCATAAATGAGGGAGACGAAGTCTTTTCAAAGAGTGGCTTCCAAATGGTTGCTGATTTTGCATTAGCGTTGGATACCTTACATGACACTTTGAGGGCTATATATATGTCATACACAGTGCCGGGGTCAGCACTTTGTCTAAAACTCAAAGCAGCGCTAAAAGATAAATCCAATTATCATCTCCATGTTACTACTAATGAGGAAGGTGGGCCTTAGAAAGCTACATAAATTGCCCAATTCTATACAACAAAGATATGATAAAACTGGAATTCCAACAGAGGCCTGATAATTCAGAATAGATAGTCTTAACCCCTGTGCTCTAATACTTAAATGACTCAGGAAACTTACTAAATATTATTGATCACCAGAGTTTTTGAATCAGTAAGTCTAGGATAAGATTTGGAGGATGTATATTTTAACAACTTTCTCTAGGTGATTCTGATAACAGCAAAATTTGGGTCCTACTAATTTAGAGTATCATAACCTAATTTAATAAAAATAACTTAGAGTATTATTTTGTAACCCCCTATTTTACAACTGTAAGTTAAGATCTTTGCTATAGGAGTTTACTGATATGAGGTGGTGGGAGGCATAAGAGAGGAGCTAAATGTTCAGAGTCCCCAGCACATACATGCTTTAGTTCTTTTTTGTTTTTTTTTTTCCAGATCAAATTTTTCCCAATTTGCACAACAATCCCACAGAAAGTCTGACTTCAACGTCCCTTTCTCCTTATTATTATCTCCAAGATTGGGCCAGTTTACTCAGACTTGTGACTGGTTCAGCGTTAAGCATATATTCTTTCAAAGATATGACTTCTCTACTGAAGGATAGGAGGGAACTCATTTCAAACATCTGGGCTTGGCCTGATGCATCCATCACCTGTGTCAGAGAGGAAGGCTACAGAGAGTGGAGGAGCTCAGGAGAGGAGAACCCCATGGCAGGTACTGCCATAGACTTCCATAAAGTGTAGGTGAGACTCCAATGCAGAACTGGACACAGTTGCTGGAATGAGCAACTGCACATGTGCACTGGAGAGCTTATCTCAATGGGAAGGAATTAGTAATACATTCAGGATTTGTTTTTCTTTATCCAATAGCAGCCTCCTATCCACTACTCTCTGTCATTACTATCAGGGCTGTCACTTTGTCCTCATGCATAGTGGGGAGCTCAGGGTTTGGTTAATTCCTTGGGGAATAACAAGCAATTATTAAAGGCTTTCTTTTAAAATAGTTGCTTCAGTGCCAGCCAGACTCGGCTGTGACTGTTAGGGTAAGAGCCTTGTCATCTGGGCCACTAGATGGTGCCAGAATTCCTTTCTGCCTCTCCCTCTCCCTCTCTCCATCCCTCCAGTCCCACCCATCCTGCTTTTGCATCTGCGCAGGCTCCACTGGGGGAGTGATGGATTTGTTTGCTGGGAAAATCGTCGCTCCCTTAGGAATGTGTAGGACAGAAAAATGCCTCATGGGCTCAGTGATTATGGAACTTTCTTTTTCCTTGGCCTTGCTTTGATTTACCTGCTGGAATCTTCCCTGCTTCCTCAAAATTCCACTCTTCCTAAAATTCAGAAGGAAAAAAAAAAAAATGAAGACACAGGTATATGGGAACTTTCCTATCTCTGGGAACCCTGTTGCTGAGGCCAAATCACACACCACTTTTGTTTGTATACATGATGCATGATGCATGCCAAGCTGCTCCTAATGAAGATATTATCTGCCTGCCTCTTCCCATCTCTAAGCACCAGGAGAGAATTCTCCCATATTGTCACTGCTTCCTTTCCAGGTGGCCAGAGAAACCCTTCTCACGATTTTCTCCCTGTGGGATCTATAGTCATTAGTTAGGCCAGGTGACTCTTCTCCAAAGAGCAAATTCATTCTCCAAGCAGCTCATCCAAGCCAGCTTTCCCTCCTGCTAGTAACACAGTCTCTTTTGCTCTCTCTCAGTCAACGATCACAAGATCACAACATTTCACAGATGGCAGGGCCAAGGGGGCTTTTCATATCCTATAGTCCAATGGCTCTTGAACTTTAGCACTGGAATCACCTGGAAGACTTGTTAAAACACAGATTGCTGGACCTCACCCTGGAGTTTCTGGTGCAGAGGTCTGGGTTGGAGCCTGAGAATTTGGATTTCTTGCAGGTTCCCTGCTGACACCAGTGCTGATGCTGTTGTTCCAGGGACCACACTCTGAGAACCACTCCAGTCCTGTTGTTTCCCAAATCCAGGAATGGAGGCTCAATGAAATGAAATGATTGTTCAAGGTCACAAAGCAAACTGAAATTAGGACTAGGAATTCAGGAGTCTTTTAAGTAAAAGCTTTTAAAGTCCTCATTCAAGCGGAGCTGGTTAGAAATTTTCTTTTCCACTCTTTATGGAGAAAGGATTTGCTGAGCAAATTTACAGATGAAATCAGATTGCAGACGAATTGTTTAATCTGTAATCACTTAAAATAGAGCTCTATTATTTTTGAGTTTAAATTAAAGCACAAACTATGAGGAACCTGTTTCTAAGTACAGGAACTGACCTTTTGGTGTTGCCACCATAGTGAAATTCTTTCTAATGGCCATTGCTCTTAGGCGGAATTCCAGGGAAAATTGTTCTACTGATTGAGTCTCTCCCAAGGAGACATCTCCAACATCAAGCCTATTCTACCTCCATCCAAACCCAGAATTTCTTCCTTGTCGTAACTTGAAAATGTTGCATCTCTTTATATGTACCCACATGGAAATGGAGTAATTCAAGCTGCACTTAAAAAAATTTATTATAATGAATTTTTCCAAAAGCTGGTGCACCTCGCACTTATGGTAAATTAAGTACTTTAGGTATATGTGTGTGTGGTTGTATTAGTAATAATAGTTATAGTAATGGATTTTTTATACTAATTCCTTCTATGTGGGCCAGCAGGTACTGGTTCCAAAGTAGTTCTGGTAAAGATATACAGTTCCATTTCCAGTGCACTGTGTGAAAAATGAAAGTCAATTAAATGAAAAGTATCAAATGAATAATGGGAGATATGGTATGCAAACACAGCCAAACTCATTCGTATAATATCTGAATGAGGGAAGTCAGGTAAGTACTATGCCAATGACTGAACTAATTCTATCCTGCAACTGCAGAAGGGACACTTTCATATGTGAAGATGGTCAAGGAGGGACTAAATGACCTTGTGTGGAAATGATGGAAATGGCCTTACGGATTAGATGATTTCTAAACCCTGACCAGTCCTGTGAGTTTTGATTTTCCTCACCATTCCATTATTCTGTCAAATCATGTGAACCTTCATGATTTTGGATATATTATTGCATTTCTGGAGGGAGTCCTATCTTCTGTGGGCACAACTCTTCCCTTGACTCAAAGTTCAGTCCCAAGAAACCTTCCCTGATATCCTTGTTCCGTCTGTTTTGTACTCTTCTGATCTCCATGCTCTTTCACATCCATAGTCTGATTGATCCAGCTAACATTTATTGAATAGCTGCAATATTCGAGGCACCAGCCATTGAGAGTTGAAGTTGCCATCAGCTAGGTTCACATCCCAGACAGGGAGGCAGACAAGTAAACCAATGGCACTCTTACAGGCTGAATTCTGTGCCCCAAAATTCATATGCTCAAATCTTAACCCCAGTAGCTCAGAATGAGACCACATTTAGAGACAGGGCTTGTAAACAGGTAAAATGAGGTCATAATACAATAAGAACTGTGTCCTTATAAGAAGGGCAAGTGAGAATACAGACACAGAGGGATGACTGTGCTTAAAGAAAAGATCATGTGAAGCCACAGAAAAAGGCAGCCATCTACAAGCCAAGAATAGAGGACTCAGAAGAAAACCAACCTACCAATACCTCAGTCTTGGACTTGCAGTTTTCAGAAATGTGAGAAAATAAGTTTCTGTTGTTTAAGCCACATAATCTGTGGTATCTTGTTATGGCAACCATAGCAAACTAATGCAGACATAGAGGTATGCATGTTAAGCAAGGCAGATGAATGGAAAATGTCTTCAGAGAGAAGGAGTGTCTGAGAGATTCTCTCAGGGGTGAAGTTGGATTCACTGAGCACACATTAGGAAGGCCATTCTTATATTTGAAATGTATGACCATCAGTTGTTTATCATATAGAAATATCTGCTTTAGTGCATGATTAGTGTAGAAGATGTTCATTGAAGCATTATTTATAAATTAAAAATTGAAAGATAATAAAAGTCTCTCAATGGGGAAGGGTTAAGGAAAATGAATAAATTATAGAAAATTACATGGAAACATTAAGAATACATTTCCAGTCTACTCTTAAGTTCCCTATACTAGACAAAAGTGCTTGCATTTTGCCAGGTGAGTTTGAGTATTTAAAATGAAGCAACAAAATAAACATACACACAAATAATATTTACTAGACAATTATAATATAAAGTCACTCTGATGATTAGAGTGCTGTTTTGAAGGTGAAATAAGGGGATTGCAATAGAGGGTAGTATGATGAAGAGGAAAGACTAGACTGTATCTTCATTTGAACATTAAATATTAAAAGAAACTGTAGATGTAGTCTAATGTTAAGACAACAAATACGCAATAGAGAGAACCAGATTCTAAGTCTGGCTCCTCTAGGATCTACTCAACCACTCTGAGATTCCATTCTCTCATTTGTAAAATGAGAGCAATTTAAGTATAAATTTTCTGATTATAAAAATAAATATCCTTATTATTCATGCTTTTCAAAATACAGGAACATATAAAAAAGAAGAATAAAATAACCCTTTTTCTCACCTATGAAGAAATAAACACTTATAACATTTTTGATATATTTCCATTCAATATTTTAATATATATTTGTATATATTACAAATTTGGCATCATTCTGCATTTTCAGATTTGTATACTGTTCTGTCACCTCATATTATACAATGACTACTTTCTTATGCCAATAAATATTCCTTGTAAACACCGTTTGAATGGCTCTATAACATTGGATAGTATAGATTTATCATAATTTATTTAATTATTCTTCAAATTTGGGACATTTGTCTTACTTACAATTTTAACCATTAAGGGTTATATTGCAGTGAACCTCTTGGTACATTGAGCCATAAAAGGGAATTCGTAAGTCATAGTATCAACTAATTTGAAAGACCTCTAATATATATTGCCAAAGTGTTAAGAAATAGTGTGCAGTTTATATTCTTACTATATTTGTCAGCTTTTGCTAGATTTTGTTGCAGTAAAAATGGCATCAGCATTTCTGTGGGTTCAAAAACAAAAATCTCATTTCTTCCTCCCATTGTCCATTCACTGTGGGTCAGTTGCAGCTCTTGACCCTGCATTTCCTTCATTCTGGGATCCGAAGAAGCAGTTTTTTCTGGGACATGCTGGAGGGTCTCAGCTCCAGCTGCTCAGAGGAGCTATCACTTTGCTGACATCCTATTGGCTAAAGCAAATCACATGGCTAAGGCTGATGTAACAAGGTGGGCACAGTAATCCTCTCACAGAAAGGCCATAAGCTGAGCCTCTATGCAGTGGAACTGGTAGACAGGGGGAGCAAATATTTAAACCAAATAACATAATCTACTAACATCGTAATAATTCTAATTTCCCTGCAACTTCACTGATGCTGAGTATCAAAATTTTTAAATACCTGGAAATTTGATAGGAGACCATGATAACATACTTTACTGAATTGCACTGCTTTATTTACTTTTGAGTCTCAGAGTATGTTCGTGGTTAGAGCCATTTGGGTTTGGTCTATTCAAGTTTCTTGCTTTTATTCTATTAAATTTTTTCTTTTGAAATGAATTAAAAAAAATTAAGGACATCAAGACCTTACCCACCAAGGTTAGCATGTTTTCTTTTTTCTGATTTTGCTTTATATTTATTTATATCATTTTTGACAAATGCTGTATTAAAATTTATATGCGGTTAAATTTATCACTTTTTGGTAATTTATTACATAGCTCTCTGCTTAGAAAGTATTTCTCCTTCCTAATATCATATCCATTTGCACCTACCCTTTATTTCACAATTTTTCTCTTAACTCTTTAATCCAATTAAAGATATTTTGCAGTTAAAGGATAAGGTAAGGATAAAACTTGATCTCTCAATAGTGAACCAGCATGTAAGTTACACCTTTCCGTACCTATCATTTTCCTGATTGTGTTCTTAATTGAAAACAGAGGCAGAAAGCAGAATGGAGGTGGGCAATTGATGTGAGTTATAGAAACAGCTTTGAGACTAAATTGTTGCATGACTTTAGGCAATTCAAATAAGTTTTCTGGTTCCCTACTGCTTCATCTATAAATTGAAAAAACATTGGATCTCAAAGAGCCTTTGTATCCCCAAATATCTTTGGCTTATCTGTAGGGTAAGCCTGGCCTATTTCTATTACACAACCCACTCCTGTGGCCACTGTAGACATGGCACATATAACAGGCCATTATTTTTCTTTCTGAGTCAAAAATGACCAGATAATTCTTGTCCTCACAGTAATCCAAGAAGTTGCTGAATAAGCATGTCAACTACCACTTACTTAGCAGTAATGCTCTAAGTAGTCAAAACTGTTGTGGATTCCTAATCCAAATATCTCTGCTAAGGTAATTCTGCTCATTCAATTCAGAAATTTCCTACCTTTCATGCACTCTAAGGTCTATTTTGATCCTACTAATTTCCAGCATTTCAATCCAACTGCCCCTGGTCACATACTAATTTTTTATGTGTGTATTAAAAATTTGCTCAGAATCAGGGGTCCTCAAACTACGGCCCTCAGGCCACATGCAGCCCGCTGAGGACATTTATCTGGCCTGCCGGGTGTTTTTGCCACTGCTGCCTGTCCTGCTTGGCAGCCAACTCGTCCTGGGCCCACAGTGCACATGTGTGGAATGTGCGTCGCACTCTCCAACAGCCTGAGGGACAGTGAACTGGTCCCCTGTTTAAAAAGTTTGAGGACCCCTGGCTCAGATCATTGTAAGGCTCTGAGATATATAGAGTTAAAAATATTTCTGGCGTAAGCCAGTGGATTTCGCCATAAGAGATAACATTCCTGTTCTCATTATAATATTAGTTCATTTTGGCTCAAATAAAAAGGAGTACAAAAGTCAAAAGAGACACAGTCTGTCAGAGTTAGAAAGGACATCATATCATTTATAGTAACCCATTCTATTCAGAGAATAATCTTCTATAGCTCAGAGATATCAATGAGCTCTCATGGCCTTCATAATATAAAACAGCAACTTAGAGGCAACCAGATTTTTTAATCCAATTCAAGGACCAAACACTAATAGATGGAGCTTTAAAAGTTTTCCATGGTAATAGGCTCACTGACATTGAGAGAGTGCTTTTAACCCACCTCTTTCATATCTGAGGTCTGAAGTCATAGCTGCTCAAATATTAAGCTATATTTCTGCATTGTGCCATTCTGTGCTTAGCCATATCACAGTTTTTTAGCCTATGTTTTCTGTATATTTACAACCTATACTGTAGTTAATAGAAATCTGATAATAGCCTCCTTTTTCCTAGTAGAAGCATGGAAAATCTATTTGATTTTGGACCAAAAAAATACAAAGCAATAAAAAACAAAAATAAAACTACTAACCCACTGGTGCTGGATTTGGTTGTCCAATTAAGTTCTTATTTATTAGTGGCTATGAATACAAGCATGATATGCTCAGAGAGTATAAGAAAAAAGTGGGGAAAGGTCTTCACAGGAAAAAATATTTGCAGATTACAATTTTATTTATTATATTGATACTGATAGTATTACCTCCACATTTTAATCTTTCCACCCTCCGACACAAGAAATGCATAATCTTGGTGTTAGGTTGAGAGGAGATATATGAAGTTATGGTAATATCAGTAGTTACACATTTTAGTGGTCTCTTTCCTTTTGAGCCAGATTTATATATATATAGACTTTATATTAGACAATGGGCTATGAACTTTAGCTACATGTTTATAAAGATCCTACTATAATTGGACTCTGCCCTGCTATAAAATACTGTAGAACCCAATGTATTTCCAATTATTCTATATGTATGATGGACTAAAATAAGCTATTTCAATGCTTCTAGTTCATAAGTAAAAAAAAAACTCAAAAATAAAAAAAATAGCTATACATTTGCAATGTTGAAACCATTATGTATATCCCTAGACTTTCAAATTGAGTGTTTCCTAATATATTTAACCCCTTCTACAATTCCTTCCATCCTCATCAAGTCCTGGAGCCATGAGCATTCCCCTTTAGTTGGCCAAGAGGAGGAATGAAACATTTACTTTTTGTTTTCAATTGCTAGTGGCAAAAGGATATTGATGTAGTCAAGATGAAGCATTAAAATCAAAATTATGTAGGGAATAAAAAGGCAGCATAAATTAGAAGCATTTGCTTCCCCTGTGGTTTAAAAGAGTTAGCATTACGCCAGCCTCATATAACATTCTGGGGGTGGGTTTATGGATGTATTAGGCAATACATCAAAAACAGCATTAAAGACCGAGAAGTTAGATATGGCAAGAGGCCACTGCAGAGAAAATAAATGGTCATCAACAAAAGCTGTTCTTATGGAAGATTGAATTGTTTTTTTCTGAAATATAGTAAGGTAGGACGTGTACAATTACAGAATGTTCAAGGTAGAAGGATCCATTGTTATGTTCTCTTCCAATCCTTTCATTAATTTAAAAGTTTAAGGTTATGTCACCTACCCGACATCATAGAATGAGCCGAAGGAAGAGAAGATTATTTATCTATTTTTGTGGAACACATTACTCCAGAACATAATGGCTTAAAGTAACAGTGCACCTTTAATATCTGTCATGGTTTCTGTGCAGCAGAAACCTTGGAGTGAGTTAGCTGGATGGTTCTGTCCCAGAGTCTCCCATGAGGTTGCAGTTAACATGGTGACTGGAACTGCAGTTGTTTGAGATGCAGACCAGTGCTGAGGGATCCAGTTCAAAAGTGGCTCCTAGGCCTAGCCAGCAAGTTGACAATGTCTGTGGGCAGGAGGCCTCAGGGTCATCCCATGTAATCCTCTCCACAGCCTGCTTAGGTTCCCTTGACTTGGCAGGCAGCTGGCTTCTCCCAGGGCCAGTGACCCAAAAGAGATCAAGGGGAAGGCCCTAATGTCTGTGAAGACCTAATCTCAGATATTACACATCCTCACTTCTGCAATATCCTATTTGTTATAAAATCAGCCCTATTCAGTGTGGGAGGGGACTACACAGGAGCATGAATCTCAACAGGTGAGGATCTCTGGGGGCCAACTCAGTCTCAATGTGATTAGAAGGGTACTCAGCATGTAGTAAGTGCTCTGTCAGTATTGTTATTGATAGTATAATGTTAATATTTAGTATAATGTTAATAAAATAATTGTTATTGATAGTATAATGATGACCTTTGCTATTAATATTTTATAGCATAAAATTCTTAAGATTTATATCTTTGAAGAGTACATATCATAATCCTAAAGATTCATGATTTTAATTTTTCTGTTGTTAACTGTACTCAAATTTTTGATAGGTTACAGAAAGAAGACCAAGGAGATTAATAATAAAATGTGAAGTTAGGTTCTTTGATTGTGGTCTTCACAAATTGTTGCATGATTTAGATACAGTTTGTTTGTTCCCCCTCCAACACTCATGCTGCAATTTAATCTCCAATGTGGTCCTGTTGGGAGATGGGGCTTGGTGCAAGGTGTTTCGGTTATTGGGCAAATCCCTCATGAATGGTTTGGTGGTGTTCTTGTGGTAGTGAGTGAGTTCTTACTCTTGTAAGACTGGATTCGTTCTTGGAGAAATGAATTTGTTCGCATGAGAGTGGATTGTTACAAAGTCAGGATGCCCCTCAAGTTTCCCCTCTTCATACATGTCCAATTCCCCTTTGATCGTCTCTGCCATGTTGTGTTGCCCACACCAGAAGCCAGGGCCATCCCCTTGAACTTCTCAACCCACAGAACTATGAACTAAATAAACTTCTTTTTTTCTTTATAAATTACTCAGTCCCAAGTTTTCTCAAGTATAAAAGCAACACAAAACAGACTGGTATAGTTGTAAATCTATAGTCAAAAATTAGAAAAAAAAATAAGTGGAATAATAATATTTCATTTTTATTTGGACATGAATGGGGGATTAATAAGTAAAATATACAAATATCAATAATACATACTATAAAGCAACAAAAAGATAGCAGAATAAAACCCAGAGAAAAATTCTATGAGTATTTAGGGGTTTTGAAATTTTGTGGAATGAGGAGAAGCTTTATGGAGAAAGGCCATAATAACAAATTCTTTAAAGATAACTAGATCTTATGTAACAGAAAAGAGATTACATAGGGGAGGAACAGAAAGATTTAAAATGTGGGTGATGGGAAATCAAAGGGTGTTCCTGTGACAGAGAAAAGCACTGTTTCATTTAGCTGGGACATTGGACGAAGGCAAGTGAAGAATGGTCTGACTGAGGAAAAACTCATAACGCGGTTTTCACATGTTGAGCTACGGGAGGAAGAGAATGGATCAACCACAGGATGGAAGAGATCAGGTAGGTGGTAATTGCATGGAGTACTTGAGATTCAATGAGATCTAAAAGCAGATGTGTCAAGAATAAAAATAGCTTATTTTAAACACAGAGTTTGTAGCGTAGGGCACCTGAATGAGTGTGGGATGAGGAATAAGCACTATCCAAGCACTGTTTGTCCTGAAGCTAAATGGGCTGAATTGAATAGATTTCATCTCTTTTCTTTTTCTTCCTTCATTCAGAACTATTTTGTAAGTGACTACATTGGTCTAGTTACTATAAAAATTCTGTGTGGTGAAGATGAAGAAGATCCAATTTATGCCCTATTTCTTTGTAGGAGAAAATATCCACAAAAAAATTGATTGTATATGTTGTCTTTGATTCCTCTCCTTCTACTCCCTCTGAAACTTACTATAGTGTAGTCTTTTCCTCCATCATTCTGTTAAAACCGTTTGTGTCAGTGTCACCAGTAACTTCCATGTTATTAAAACCAATGGTCAATTCTTGGTTCTCAGCTTATTTGTTCTTTCATAGGTATGTGACTCAGTTTACCTTTTCTGCTCTTTCCCATCCTTGTCGCTTGGCTTCCCTTATCCCTCTGTTTATTTTCCTCTTGCTTTTCTGGCTACTATTTCATAACTCATTGTGCTAGTTCTTCCTCTTCCCTGCTTCTTAATTTTAGAGTGATCGAGGAGGCCTCAGTGCTTGACTTGCTCCTTTTTGTTGACACCACTTTCCTAGTGATCTCTTGTAAACACCTAGATTAAAATATAACCTGTGCTGAAGATGTCCAAATTTATATTTTTGTCTTAGAGTTTGTTCCTGGTATTAGAACCATGTATCCAGTTGAGTGATCAGTATGTCCATATCCATGTAGAGCTGACATTTCAAATCAACAAGTCCAAAACTGAACTAATCTTTTCCCCCATATCTGCTGCTTCCACCGACTTTTCCATCTAAGTTAGATGACTCCTTCCTTGGATTGAGTCTTGGCTTCTTTCTTTGTCTTGCACCATCACATTGATAAATATATCACAAATAGTACTGGGTCTACTATCACAGTATGTCTGAAATCCATCTATCATTTTGGTCTGCATCGCAATCATCTCCTACCTGGATTATGGCACTAGCCTGCCTATCTCCCTCCCACTCTGTCTACCCTCCCCTCTCAACACCAATCTAATTTTGCAACAGTGCAAGAATAACTCTTGTAAAATGCAAGTCATATTGTATCGTATCCCTTCATTGTTCAACATGCTGCCTTGGTTCCACATCTCAATCACTGTGAAAGCCAAAGTCTTTACAATCATCTATGAGATACTACTCAATCCATCCACCATCATCACCACGTTATTGCTCTGAGACAATATTTTATTACTTTCACTACTTTTATTATTGCTCATTTTTTCTTCAGGTTGACTGGCCTTTTAGCTATTGAGCAACACACCAAGCACAGCCATAATTTAGGATCTTTGCACTTGTGCTCTTTGCCTAGAAATCTCTTTCCGCTGATATTAGCAGGTATGATTCTCTCATTCTCTCGCCTTTTCGAATGCAATAAAATGTCACCTTTTAAAGGATATCTACCTTGCTTCCCTTACTTAATACTACAGACTTCCTCTTCCCTCAAACACGCGCTATTACCTTTACCTTCCTCTCCTTTTTTGTTTTGTTTCCTAGGTTTTATTGTCTTGTGGCATTTTGTGTGTATGTGTATGTGTGGGTATGTGTATAAAATTATTTATTATATATATGGTATTTTAAAATATTTATTTATAATATACTAAATAAATGTTATTAATTTTACCATCTGTTTTCTTCCATTAGAGCATACCCTTCATGAGGACAAGGATCTCTGTCTTTTTATTCCTAGGAGAGTACCTGGCAGACAGTAAGTGTTCAATAGATAATTCATGAATTCCTAACCCTGTGAGGAGACAGATGTATCAATGTTGCCTGTATAGTTATGACCAAATACTGCTGTAATGAAGGAGGAGACCTACTCCTTTTCTGAGTGAAAAATATTCTTCCAAAAATAAGTTTATCTGAGTGACTTGTGAAAATACCAATTTTGAGACTTTGATTATTAAATTTGAATAAGGAGAACAAATCTCTGATATTTATTTCTATCTTACCATGGAGTTTCTGATGAAGAATACCAGAAATGTGAAAGATTTTCCTATCACATGAGAGTACATAACTTGAGATTCAAATAATCCTACTTGAATTAAACTTTAAATCAACATAGATATTTTCTATACTCACTTGCCAAAATCCTACTAATTCTTAGATCAAATGTGGTGTACTCCGAGAAGCCCTACTTGCCTCCTAATAATTAGAAATAAGCACTTCTCTTGTAATTATTGGCTGACATTCAGTTCTCCATTCTAAATTATAAACTCATTGTGAATATAGAACTTTAGACCTATCTTTATGTTCCCTATGATTCATTGAAAAGGTCCTTGCATACAGCTGATGATAAGAGGTTACACGGAATTATTTCTTAAAACCCTACTATTAATAAAATCCATGTTGTGATATCTCAATACAGTTTCACTGATATATCCAATTTTCTTGTATTGCCATAGGGCATGTGGAAATTGAACCTATGCATTTGGTTTTATATGCCCCTTCAACCACGTAGAAGGGAAAAATCATTGAACACCTCTTACGTCCCAGAAAATGTGTTATGGCTTTTAATACATGTTATCTCATGTAATGCTCAAAATTGCACCATTGTGCAGGTATAATTTCCCTTTTTTGTTTTGCAAATGATAAAACTGAGTCTCATAAATGTTAAATGACATCTTGAAGGTCACACATCCTGTAAGTGACAGAGCTAGAATTCTAACTCAGTTGTGTATTATTCTACTTAATCACAATCCACATGGCAAAGGAAATGAACACATGAAAAGTGATGTCAAATTCAAAATGTTGAGAAAACAATGGGAAGCAACAAAATAGGTTTTATAAATGTCAAACTGGGGCAGAGTCTATGGAACTAATTCCATAATGTCATAAATAATTGGTTCTGAGAAGAGTTCACACTAAAACAAGACAAGGAGCTCTTCTTGACTCTGTCTTAAATAAAACACGAGTGTCATCATGGGCATTAAAAGAAGTTGCAATGCTAAAGCATGCTGACGATTATATATTATAATTAAGTTTGGCATCTTCACAGGAGATCATATCAGGTACTGCTGGCCCACTGAATGGTATATGTATATCATGTAGTTCTACTCAGCCATGAAAACAATTGTGATCTAGCATCTCTTGTATTATCCTGGATAGAGCTGGAGCCCATCTTACTAAGTAATGTATCACAACAATGGAAAAACAAGCACCACATGTACTACCATCAAATTGATATTAACTGATTAACATTTCCTATAATTCTTTGCCTTATTTTTGGCCACATCCCCGACTATTAGCTAGTGGATCATGAGCAGAATTGATGTGTGCTATTCCAGGCTGAGCTCATAAAACCCTTCCATGGATAAGCCACTGTGCTCTTTCGCATTCCCCCTCACATAAATAAATAAGACATCTTTATCAGGCATGATTGACAATGATGAAAGCACAGCCTAAAACAATCCTGTATCACTGAGCTTTAATTCAATCCTACTTGAATTAAACTTTAAATCAACAAAGATATTTCCCATATCTATCTAATTGCCCTGACGGTTCCTAATTGATGAGCAATTAGGAACCATTTACTTTGAGCTTATTTGAGTAAGAAGTACATTTCTATGATGTTTGACCCATCATGTATTTTGGGTTTGTGCATTACAATGGACATCACTACATTAAATAAGATAAAGATTATCTAATCTAACTTTATCAACAGACACATGGAGAAGCAAAGACCCAGAATAGTTAGGATTAGGGTTAAGAGGAGAGACAGGGCTTCTTAAATACTTCCATGTGAGGCTAAGATGTTACAACTATGGGAAGGATTGAGGCACAGAGGCAGAAAACCATGGAAGGTCTAATAGCATGAGTTAATTAGCAAATACGTCATGTATTTAAGGAAAACACTGCAAACCTCAGTATAGAATATAACTTTAGAGCATGGAAGGTTGTGGTTTCAGCCTGTCATCCAATGTTAGAAGGAATCAGTTGGAGTCAACAAGTTTATAGGAGAATTGCCTCAATGTGGTAAAATCTACATAAAAATAATGGTGGTGCTTGCTTCCACAAAAGGGCTCAACGTTTTAAAGGTCTCCAATGAATTTCCAGTTGTTAGTCATGCCTTACTTAAATATTAGGCATATTTAATAAATGGTGTCTTTGGAAACTTAATAGAAAATGGCCATAAAGGAAAAATTATCAATGTTCTTAAACTGGCAGAAATTAAATTTTTTGAAAGAATTGAAATAAATATCAGAATAATATAAAATGAGTGTAAGGCCAGGATTCACATGACCTAGATCTTGATTCTAACTCCTCGGTTAATTTGCTTGATATTGAAAAACCCATTTAAGACTGTGCTTCAGTTCTTTCATTTGTGAAATGGGAATTATGAGTGTTGTTTTCTGGTTTGTGCTGACAGTAAAATAGATGGGTTACATTGAAACGCTAAATAGTACACTGTGCCAGAGATCCTAACCAAGCTCTATTATTAGTAAGTAGATATTTATCATAGGAAAAAAAAAAAACCTTCTTCTGTCTTAAAAATGCCAAACTTGGGCAAGACCTTACTAAAGACTTACATTCTTTGAATGACTTTGATATAGCAATTTCAGAACACAACAAAAAGAAAAAAAAATTACAGCCACAAGATCTATTCCCTTCATATTCCATGATAAATGTGATATAATAAATGCTCAGATATCTCCTACACAGCATTACACCCTCTGACCAAGAGTAGAAATCCTTACTTTATGAATCTATATGATCCATCAATGGATGCTTTTTCCTTGATATTTGGGTTTGGACAACAGGGAAGAGCCACTTTCCTCATGGCTAAGTCTGCAGGCCTTCCTAATGAGGAAGACATGCTTTGATCCCCTTTGCTACTCCCTCCTAGAATAGTATTTCTTGGCTAAAGGTGGCATCCAATCATGACACTCTAGGCTTGTATAGGATACCTAGGAGCAAGTTTTAAAAGCAAATGGCACCATCTCCAAACAAAAAAGTCTTAATTATAAGACACAGCAAATTTGACATTTTTTTCCTCCCCTCATTGTAGTCTGTTTTCTTGGACAAATTTTACATACAACAAATCCCAGGAAAGAACCTAGATAATACTCGCTATCTACTCATGCCACCTGTTTCCAATGGAAAAAGCAACACTAGAATATGGTGATGCCCTGGTATTTCAGATACATTTTAGGGGATGTAGATAGAGCCTCAGACAGAAAAGCACAGCACTGGGACTTGCTATCCTCTGTAATGCTCAGCTGTTCATTAAGTCAGAGGAGTAGAGAATATACTAGTATTGTCTATACTGGGAGGTACAAATCAGGTGTTGATCTACTCTAGTTAATGTGGAAGCAATTCATTCTGATAAACTAGTAAAATGTCTATCAGGTCTGAGGGATTCAACAATGAAACAGCAGATGAGATTCTGGGTAGATGAGAAGAGGTGTTGGTTGAAATTATGGTTTTAATGACTTCACCTGGTGATGGCTGCTGAATTAGTTGAAAGCTTTTCATGAAAGAGATGAACGAATTATGGCAGGAAGTTCAATGAAGATTTTAGAGACTGGTATGCCCTGACAGTTGGCAAAGTGAGTTTTATAAAAAGGGAGAACTCTATTAGCTGCTACATAAGTCACTCTCACAGATTATGTGTTCAGGTTAATAACACTGAAGAGGGGAAATAGAAATAGTTTTAGAAAAAAGATTTGACAATTTCAGAATACTGAGGACATTTTAGTTTTTAAGAATTTTTTTCAAACAGAAATGAAAGGAATGATGGGTGGGTTGATAAGTTAAAATATATCTACAAGGTTGTCATTATAGGAAAGGATCTGAAAGCCATGTCAAAGAAAGAAATGGAAGAAGAATATAGCTAAATTTTTCCATAAAAAGAGAAAATATGAGGGTGGCAAGATAGCCATATTCAAATGTTATAGAGCTCCATTTGAGGAAAAGAGAAGGGCTTCCTGAAAGATACTTGAGCTTGTATTATGAATCAGGTAATGTGCTGTAGGCTTTAACTGAATTATGTCTTTCCATTTGCACAACATACATTGGGGAGAGCATTCTTTTTTCTTTTTTTTTAATAGGTGAGATTATACAAGATTCAGAGTAAATTATAAAAGACTATAAGTAAATAGCTACTGTGAAACCATGGATCAAATCCTTCTCCCTTTCTATGCCTGAACCCCTAAGGTAGCTCACAAAATTAACAAATTTTCATCTTGCTTTAGAATAATATAACATTTCCAAACTATGACTATTAAGTATGTTACAACAAGATCATTGTGAATGATTTTCAGAAAGATATATTTCCCATGTTGCAATAAGTAGAATATATAATTCTTGAAAGTTTCTGAAAGATATCTCTGTTTAAAATTTCACTACCTTGCTTTCATGTCCTTTACTTTAAACTGTTTATTTGCTATTTCTTAAAATTTCATATCCTTAAAAAATTTTCATATATCATCATAATAAATACATATTTTTCCTAAGGGTTTCCCAATTTCGTTCCAGACATTCATATCTTGAATCAGATCAAAAAAACATTTGTGCATATTCAGAAGATATCAGACATATAAGCACGTAAAAGTTTACATTCTTTCTTTCTCCTTCTCTCCCTTTCTCTCTTTCTTCCTCTCTCTCCCTCCCTCCCTCTCTCTTAAACTTATCTTATGAAAGGCACTTGGCAACTAGCCAATAAATTCCAATAAAATATTACTGCTTTACCAAAAAGTGTTCGGCCTTGAGCATTTCCTAAAGAAATGCATACTTGACCTTTGTAATAAACAAATGCCATCTATTTCACAAATGTATTAGCCATCTTAAAAATGGTCAAAAGTTTGACTCCAGAGCTCCAGCCCTGGAAATGCATCCTAAGGAAATAATACGAAATGCAGAGAAAACATTATGGAACCAATCCCATAAAAATGAAATGTTAATTTATTTATAACATTTTTTGAAATATCAGATACCCATCAAAATATTTATGATGATTTTGTAGTAAAATGAAAAAAAGTGTGCATATAAAATGGATGATAAGCCAATAAATTGGGATAAAATGTGTATATACAACATGACTTCAGTCACTGAAGGCATACCAAGAAGAACTGGATAGAAATTATCAAAATACGAACAACAGTTACGACTTTAAATCAAGGGATAACGTAGGAGATTTACACCCTGCATAATTTTATGTGTATTTAAAAACATTTACCTATTACCTTTACAATGTATACATCCACAATTAATTTTTAAAATTAATTAACCAATTTTTGAAATACTTTAGGCTTGTAAGATTATAAAATCTAAGGAGAACAAAGGATCTTCAGTGAAAATCAGGACTCTTCATCTGCTCTTTTTTTGTTGCTCATCTGCTCTTAATAACCTTTTCATATTTCCTATAGAGGGGCAATCAAATTACTGTTACCTGTTTTGAGTGAATCATTCCTGAGATAATCTATGTAAATACATAATTTATCCAACCATTCTCCTACTGACATATAGCCAAACCACCTTTGATTCACTGGTGTTGAGAAACATAGCTACAAATAATATCTTGAAATTAAGTAATTTAGAAGCATATGTCTGGATACTGACTCTTCTGTATTAATATTTCCTAGTGTTTCTCTTCAATTAGTGATTTATTTTATAAATTATTTTCATTTATCTTTATTGATTGCTCCAGAAGTGGAATCAAGGACTCACTGTCTTCGTCACAGTTCACTGTGTTTTCATCACTCTCTGCTACCTTAAAAGTGATTTACTTTGTATTGCTTTGGAAGGCACAGCTAGAACCAACCAGCCTAAGTCATAGGGAAGCATATTCAGATCACCACAAAGAAGTGAAGTCTCATAAGAGCAATGATCACTGGCAGCAACCTCTATTTCCATAATTATTTTACCATTTCTAATGTCCTTTCTCCAGAGCTACCTTATGAAACAGTGAGTTTTTTATAATAGCATTGAAAATATTCCCAAAGAGCCTGGAATGACACCTGAAATATGTTGAGGGAAAAATTATAAATGTTTGAAAGGAATGGACTAGAATACTTTTTAAGATCTCCTCTAAGTCCAACATTCTCTTTTCTCTATGTTAGAAATTTAGGGTTAAGAATTTAGTTAACATCATTATGAACTTATGGTGAAGAGTTGGAAAAGTCACTTAGCTGTTAGTTTTCCACGCTATAAAAATAGTGAATAGAATAGTTTTGTCAGAGGGATACTACACAGATTAATTAGCTGATGTCTGCACATTGATAAAGATTATACAACACAAGGTCTACCTAATAATAGCGGCTGCACAAAAGGGCCAATTGGAACTTACCCAGTACTTTGTAACAGTGAAATGGGGAGCAAAGGGTGAAATGGCCCAAGAGAATTAAAAAAGTAAATAAATAAAAAGTGCATAGCACACAAATGCAAATGCTTAAAAACACACACACTCGTACACACAACAACTTAATTAACCTGCAGAGACCTCTGCCACCCAATGGTCTTGAAGCAGATAGCTTAGACAAGACATTTAAAAGGGATTGTGATTCGTAATGAGAAAAGGATCTGCAGTTAACCAGCATATCCTGGTTTAGGCTTTTCAAATGACCTTTTAAGTTTGCACTTTTTAAAAATAAACTTTGTTTTCTAGAACAGCTTTAGCTTTACAGAAAAATCGCAAAGGTAATTCAAAGAATACCCGTATGCTCCACAGTTAGTTTCTCCTATTAATAACATTTTTACATTAGTACGGTATATCTGTTATAATTAATAAACCAATATTTATATACTATTATTAAATAATACTCATACTGTATTCAGATTTCTTTAGTTTTTGCTTAATGTCTTTTTTTCTGTCCCATGATCCCATTTAGGATTCTAAATTACATTTAGTTGTCAGAGCTCCTTAGGTCCTCTTGGCAGTGACATCTTATTAAAATTTCTTCTTTTTGATGGCTAGTATTGAACTGAATTATGTCCTCCCCTAAATTCGTATGCTGAAGCCCTAACCCCCAATGTGATGGTATTTGGAGATGGGGCGATTGGGAGGTAATTTGGTTTAGATGAGGTCATGAGGATGGGGCTCTCATGATGTGATTAGTGCCCTTATAAGAGGCACCTGAGAACTTGCTCTCTCTCTGTTCCCACTGTACTAGGCACAGCAAGAAGACAGTCATCTGCAAGCCATAGAGACAGCCCTCAACAGAACCCAATCACCCTCACCAGAGCCCGATCATGCTGGCACCCTGATCTCGAACTTCAGCCTCCAGAATCAAGAGCATATAAACCTCTGTTGTTTGAGGCTCCCCGTTGATGTTATTTTGTTAGGGTAGCTGGGCTAACTAAGAAGATGACCAAGACAATTTTGATGAGTACTTATTAGATATTTTGCAGAATGTCTCTCGAATTGGGATTTCTTTGATGTTTTTCTCATGAGTAGACTGAGGTTATGTGTTTGTGGGAAGCAGACCACAGAGGTCAAGTGCCATTTTCATTACATCAGGTCAAAGGCACAGAGTATCAACAGGACTTCTCTTTGATGATGTTGACCTTGATAAAGTGATTGAGGTTATGTTTTTTAGATTTCTACAGTGAAAAGTTACAATTTTCCCTCTTTCCATACTGTATTATCTATTCAGAAGGAGGTCACTATGTACTGTCCACACTTAAGGAATAAGAGGTCATGATGGTGAATTGTCTACATAAATTATTTGGGATTCTTCTGCATGAGGGATATGTCTCTATTTTCATATTAAATTTTTTATCCAATTGTGTATTTGTATCACTGTTGTCCCTTGAGTATTCATTTTACATTTAGGGTTATAGTCCAATATAGTTCTATTTAATTTGTTATTAAAAGTTTTTAATCTTTAACTGGTGAGAGCCCTTTGAGTGGTCCCCTGAATACCCGTCTGCAATACTCCCATCTTTTTTTCGAGTACTCCTTTACTTTTTGCCACTGTAAGGTACTATAGGCTCATTTTGTAAACATCCTGCATCGGTTCCAGAATCAGCGATTTCTCCAAGGAGCTTTGTTTGTTTGTTTTTTCCATCTAGTTTTGCTTATTTATTTTCTACTTTTCCTAAATTTTATTTTTATTGATACATAATAAGGGTGTATATTTTTAGCGTACATGTGATAACTTAACACAAATTAGTGTAATTGAGACATCAATCATCTTAAATATTTGTCATTTCTTCATGCTAGTAACATTTGAATTATTCCGCTCTTGCTATTTTGAAATATGCAATAGGTTGCTTTTAATTGTTGAATGATATTAGGGAAGAAGATCTAGGGGCTAAATGATATAGGCTTGCACTTTTAAGGCAATTTTAGTTTTTAAAGAGTTTTCCTGTTATTCATGGGACCTTTCTGATGCTGACGAGAACAGAACCACTTAGCTCTCATGTTAAGCAAGATGGTATATTTGATGAATTTTGGTAAGCTATAGAGTGTGTAGATGTGCAAGGATGTCTTCTGTGTATCTTTGCTATAGGTCATAAGCTGAATTGCCCTCATTGGTAATATCTACACAGGAACTAATGGACAGCGGCCAAAGAAATGAGGAAAAATATTACACACAGACATACACACCTGTGTATTTCAGTCATTTTTACCCACTAGTATTGTTTGTTTCCAACTTGTTAAAAATAACAGTAAGAAGAATACAGTGCTATTTTCAAAGAAATGTGATTCTGATTTTCTTTACTTCTAACTATTTGCATTTATATATCAAAATATGGGTGTCTTCATACATGCCTTCTGCTGGGTGTCAAGGTTTTCTGTCTGCTTGCTTTTGCATTATTTCCTTTGCTGAAAGGATCTTAACATTATTAGTTCTAATCATCTAATTTTGAATAGTATAAACATTTGATTCTGAAAATATTTAAATAGTGGACTAAAACAGTGAGTATATTGACCACATTTGTCATGCAAATAAAAATTAAACAACGAAACAGTGGAAATTATGACTATAGAGAGTTCATTGGTCAGGATTTTTAGTTTCCTAAAGAAAACTAACATCTCCAAGTATGAGAAAAACTGAAACATACCGATTTTCAAGTAGAATTTGTGGACAGTACACTTCTTAGTAAGCCTGTGAAAGAGCAGGTCATATTCACCTGACAAGATTGTTTTGCTCAGTCGGGCCTAAGTTTTAAAAGGAAGTTTCATTTTCAAAGGGGCAGGAGAGAAGGTTCATCTGTTTCATTTCTATTGCCCTAATATCGTACATCCTTCTGATATCACCTATACTTAAATAAACAAAACCTCCCCATTGTACTGGGAATCAAAGTCATTCCTAGGATCCTTTGGTGATACCTATCTTTTCTTCTAGCCTGATCCTCTCCTTTTTTCCTCTTGTTCTGTACACATAAACCACACTGTCCTTCTTCTTGGCTCCCAAGAAGCAGAGATTACTCCCCATGTAGATTCTGCACCAACTCTCGTCCTCGTGTATGTAATTTTCTGTACTCATTTTCTTTCTCCAGGACTGACTTCTTATCATTTTAGGTCTTATTTCCAATGTTCCAAAAGACCGTTTCTTGGCACCATGTTTAAATAAAGCTCATTTAATTTTATATCCCATTCCTCTTTTATTTTCTTCGTAGCATATATCATCGTCATCTGGCTTTATTTCACTGGATTGTTTACTTGTATGCATGATTTCTTTCACTCAACAGATGTCAAAGAGTGCCTACTATGTGCCAGCCACTGTTAGAGCCTCTGAAGCCACTGGGAAAACTTGGCCTTTGCTCTGAGAGAGATGGGAAGTCACTTTGAGAGAGGAGTGACATGATCTGACTTGGATTTTAAAAAGATCAAACTGAGGCTCTGTTGAGAACAGAGTGCAAGAGTGCAAGGGCCTTAGAAGGGAGACAGTTCATATATTTATACCCATTTTTCTAGTGAAATGTGTGTTTCTTGAGAGCAGGGACTGGCCCATCTTTTTCAATACTTTATACCCTACTGCCAACCACAGTGTCTTTTTCTTGAATTTGGTTTGCTTTATCTGTAAAATGGGGAAATGATACTCTCCTCAAGGGATTATTGTAGGAACTAAATGACATAATAATGGTAACATTTTAATCTTTCTCCCCAAAAGCAATACATAAAATTCCTAATGTTTAATATTTCAATGAAAGATCAATCCACTAACTTCCCCATAATTATAAAGGCGCTTGTTATGTAAGTATTTGAAGTAATGGGTTTTTCTAACCTTCCTTGTCCTCCCCACTCAAGAAGTCAGGAAAAAGAAATTACTTAGTATTACTCCAAAGAACTGAGATTTCACTAGGTTCAGGAGTGATGACAATAGTAAAATATCAGAGCTGAATTACTGGGAAAGTGATTGCTACATCTAATCTATCAGGTCTAGTTCGATGACTATTTATATATGTTACTAGTGCTCTTTAGGTTAAAAAATGCACTATAATATTCTTCCACAGAGCTATGATTTTCTTTTCTATTTGAAAAAAAAAATATTAGCCATAGTTATTTGAATGTAGTATGCTATAGCTTTAAAATACTTCAAAAATATAAGCTAGCAGCTGGGCATGGAGGAGCACACCTGTGGTCCCAGCTATTCAGGAGGCTGAGGCAAGAGGATGCTTGAGCTCAATTCAAGGTTGCAGTGAGCTATGATTGCAGCACTGCACTCCAGCCTGGGCAGCAGAATGAGGCCTCTAAAAGTAAATAAATAAATAAAAATAGTACCTAGCATTTTCATAAATAACTGTTAGTAGCTATAATATTAAATTTACTATTATTAATGAAGGCTTAAATCAATAAATTAATCCCAGTATATACACGTGTGTGTCTATATCAATATAGATATGTAGAGAAAGCTCATCCAAGAAACTCCGTTCTTTAGCTATGTTCTTGCTGTAACCTTCTTTCATAGTTCTCTCCTAAAGTTAGCATCTACAGTAGATAGATACGATAGCAGTGTCCATGGATCATTGTATTTTGTACGGGAACTATAAAAACGGCTGATATTTATGAAAAATAAATATTATTCTGGAATGCAAAAAAAAAATCCAAAATAGTGTTCTCTCTTCTTTTACCACAAATATGGCATTTATCATAATTGTACAGATCTCTTTAATTTATAAAGATAAGTGATATATATATGATTGCATTTGATCATCATACTCATTCTTTGAAAAAATCAGGCCCAGTTTTCCTATCTCAGTTCTACAGATAAAGAAACAAAATTATTTATTACCACCTAGAAAATCAACATATTAAATCCAACTAAAATTTTTGAAGACCAAAGGGCTATGTATTCCAAGTGATGGTCAATGCTAATGTTTAACTGAACTTTTGATTTCTATTTCTGTTATTTTCCCCTCTTTTGGATGTTCATAGTTGTAAACTGAGGAAGTCATGAGTGAGTTGTTCAGCAATGTTTGACTGTACTACAGAACTGAATTAAAATCTATTAATCCTTGATCCATTCCTGATGTCCCTACACCAACCCACATTATTTCTTTATTGGGCAGGCATACCAGATCGGTGTCCCAGGACAACTTAAAAGGCATAAGAGTGGGATGAAAATATATATCAGAAAGGATAACTCCTCATACCTCCAACTTATTTTTGCATTTTTTAAAATGAAAGCTGAATTGCCAGGGGATTTAAAATAATGCTTCTGTGACAATTTTGGACTGTGGTTTCATTCCCACCTTGGCCATTTGGTCTCCAAAACAAACCACTATGTTTCCTTGTGAAATAATGTTTAGATCTGTGCCCAGTTCACAAGGGCATTGAGCAGCTTATTAAATACAGGTAGTATGTTTTGGAACTGTCTTTGAAATGAATGAGGTGGATGCAAAACAAGATTAACCTCTGTTGCATGGCTGTTCCGAGTCTGATCAAATGCATAACACATCTTTTTCAAAATGTACATGGGAAAATCTAAAATATATGCAAATGTTAATAAACTTCCCCTAGCTTTTATGATCCCTGTTAGGACATGACATATTTTGGTTGTATCGTCAAATGTGCTTGAGAGCCACATTTAGTTGTGCATAATGCACATAAGAGAGAAGAGTATTATCTCCATTGGAAGAAATCCACTTTATCACACTGAATGATTGAGACTATGGTTGGGGGAAAGGGAGGTACAGTAAGCATGGAATTGGTTAAATTTACTTACTTAAAGCAGATACCGCTGCAATCTGCTAAGTCCACTAATAGTAACAATAATTATAATTATGACAGAGGTTATTAAAACACTATAAGAGCTATATAACTTTTCACAGCTATAAAACCCTTAAAATTCCTAATTCCAGAAGGTTTTGTTCCTTCTGTTAAATACTCATTCATTCATTAATATCTGTATTCAATAAATATTCATCAGAGAAGTACTACATGCCAGGCACTAAACAATTACATATCAA